AGAACACCAAAAGCTGTTAGAGAAAAGAAACAGATCACCTATAAAGGAAAGACCACTAAAATTGCAGCTGACTTCTCATCACATACTTTCAAGTCAAGGAGAGATTTAAGTGAAGTACTCCAACTTCTAAAGGAAAATAAGTTTTTCAACCCAAATTGATGTACCCCACAAAACTATCTTTCAAAAGTCATGGAAAAATAAGATACTTTCATGACAAAGAACATCTGAGGAAATTTATGACCACCAAACCAGCACTCCACAATGTTCTGAAGGGCATTCTAGAAAGAGATACTAAGGACTACAGCTCCATGAACCCCGACAGAAGGAATCAACCAGGGAAGGCAAACAGTTAGAGGAAGGGGGAAGAAAGGAGAGACCCATCAACAGGAAAATAACATAACAAAGATAAATCAGCACTTTCAGTTATAACCATCAATGTCAATGGTCTTAATTTACCAGTCAAAAGAAACATACTGACAGAATAGATCAAGAAGCAAGATCAAACAATATGCAGTTTAAGAAACACATTTAATCTAAAACGAAACTCATAGATGGAAAGTCAAAGGATGGAAAAAATACCCCATGTGACAGAAACCCAGAAAAAAGCAGAGGAAACTACTCTATTTGCAAACAAAATGAATTTCAAGCCAAGACTGATTAAGAGAGATAAAGATCATTATAGCCCTGTAAGGGGAGTAATACAAGCAGAACACATAACAATCACAAATATATCTGCAAAACATACCAGTGCTCAAAACTATAAAAAATTAATGATGGATATGAAAAAATCAAATAAGCAGTAATACAATTGTATTGGGAGGTCTCGATAAACCACTGTAACAAAAAAAAAAAAAAAAAAAAAAAAACAGATCAACTAGCCAAAAAAATCAATAATGAAATATTAGAACTAAATCAAACTTTTGAGCAAATGGACATTGGAGAAGTCTACAGAGCATTCCACCCCACAGCATCAGAATACACATTCTTCTTAGCTGCACATGGGACATTCTCCAAAATAGGCCACATACTGACTCATAGAACATGCTTAAGTAAATGCAAAGGAATTGAAATTATGCCATACATACTATCAAACCACAGTGCAATGAAACTGGAAATCTACGCCAATGGAAACCACTGAAACTTCATAAACACATGGAAATTAAAGAGCACCATACTGAACAACCAACAGGTCACAGATGAAATTAAAAAAGAAATTACGCAGTTTTTACAGTTCACTGATAATACAACATACTGGAACTTGTGAGACACAATGAAAACAGTTTTAAGAAAGAAATTTATGGCAGTAAGTACTCATATCAGGAAAACAGAGCAAGGGAGTTTAAATGACTTAATGTTGAAACTCTTCTTTTAGAAAAAGAAGATCATGCTAAGCCAAAAGCTCATACACGTGAGAAAATTACAAAGATTTCAGCAGAAATTAATGCACTGGAGATTAAAAACACATTCAAAGAATCAATGAATTGAAGAGTTGGTTCTTTGAGAGATTAAATAAAATTGACAAATCATTAGCAAACTTTATGAAAAACAGGAAAGAAAATATTCAAATCCACACAGTTACAAATGGAAAGGATGAAATCACAATAGATTCTTCAGAAACCCATAAAATCATCTATGTCTATTTTGCAAACTTGTATTCCAATAAAATGGAAAATACAGAATAAATAGACAGAGACCTAGAAAAATGTGAATTGCCAAAGCTAATAAAGACAATATAAATATCCTAAATAACCCAATATCAATCAATGAAATTGAAGTTATAATTAAATCCTATCAGCAAAGAAAAGCCCAGGCCTAGAAGAATTCACTGCTGAATTCCATAAGAAATTTAGAGATGATTAAACACCACTATTTCTAAAAAACTTTAATGAATTTGAATGGGAAGTAGACTTTTCATATTCATTCCTGGAAGCAAGTATTACCCTGATACCAAAACCAGAGAAGGAACTAACTGACAAAGAGAATTAAAGACCAATCTCTCTAATAAACATTGATGCAAAAAGCCTCAATAAGATATTGGAAAACAGACTGAAGCATACTTTCAAGAAGATTGTACCCCATGATCAAGTGAGATTCATCACAGGGAGGCAGGGATGGTTCAACATATATAAATCCATAAATGTAATATACTACATTAACAGAACAAGTAAAAATTCATATTATCGTCTAAATAGAGGCAGAAAAAGCTTTTAATCAAATCCAGCAAACTTTAATGATAAAAACCCTACAGAAAATTGGAATAGATGGCTTTTACCTCAATCTGATAAAATCCATCTATGACAAACTAGCAACCAACATAATAGTAAATGGACAAAAATGAAAGCTTTCACTCCAGAACAAGGAACAAGACAAGGATGTCCAAATTCCCAATAAACATATGAAAAATTTCAACATCTGTGGCCATTAGAAAAATGTAAATTAAAAAGCACTAAAATTACATCTTATATCACAAAGAATGACAGTCATCAAGAAATCAATAACAAATGTTGGCATGGCTGTGATGAAAAGGGAACACTTTTACATTGCTGTGAATGTAAACTAGCTAATGTTTTGTAGAAATCAGTATAGAGTTTTCTCAAAGTACTGGAAATAGAAATTATGTTTGAACTGGCCATTCTCTTTCTAGCTATTTTCTCAGAAGAACTAAACATAACATGTTACAGAAGAAATACATGCAAATCAATGTTCACAGCAGTATGGAAATATCAATGTTCACATCAGTAGTAAAATCCTGGAAACAATCTATATGCCCACCAAAATATGAATGAATAAAGAAAATGTGGTATCTATACATAATGGAATACTTGTTAGGTGTAGTGAAGGATAAATTTGACGTATTTGCAGAAAAATAGATTCATCTGGAGAGCATAATGATAAGTGAAGTAAACTGGACACATAAGTTTATGATTTCTCTGAAAAGTACAAATAAAGAGCAAAATACAAGACTGCAGAAAGAGAGACAGATCTTCTGCAAAGAGGAAAGAATCCTAGAAACCAATGATGAGGGGAAAGTTGAAGACAGAAACGAGATGTAAAAGATTCAAGATGTTGTCTCACACATGTACCAAATACACAATGAATGTAAAGATAAATGTCATAAGCATGATTTTAAAAAACAACAGAAAATTAACACAGTAATTATCTGGCTTATGAATGTGTTCCATTCCAGAAGAAATTTCATAAGTAATAATCGTTTCCAAGTCCAACAAAGTGAGTCTTACACACTTTTAGCATAAATATATAATATAAAGCATAAAAAAATTTCACATGTTCCTAGATCTTGTCCTTGTTCTTTAGAATTGTGTCAATGGTTGAACTACTCATGTTACAAGAAAGAAAAACATCATTATAGCTGCATCATTTTGGGGAATTGTTGCATATACATATCACATTTGAGCATTTTACTGTCCCTTACCCCAACTTTGCATATCTTTCTGATCCCTTTCCCAGATCACCTTTCCATCTCCACAAAATCTACTTCCCTGTTTCCTACCATCTGTCTTTTACTGTTGCATTTTAAATGATTTCTATTTGGGGTTTCTCATATTACAGAAACCATGTGACACTTAACCTTTGATGTCCAATTCATATCACTTAGCATATATTATGAAGATCCATGCATTTTCCTGCATATAACTCAAATTTGTCCTTTAGAGATCAATATTACCACACTGAGTATGTACTGTATACCATTCATTTATTCATGTCTGTCTCATCTATCTATCTATCTATCTATCTATCTATCTATCATCTATCTGCCTATACCAATTCTTATGTTGATGGGATTATATATCATTTTCATATTTTAATGATGTTGAATTATAGTCCTATAAATATACATAGGCATGTGATATTATGATGCTCTTAAATCTTTTTAGAATATATCAAGAAAAATGTGTAAGTGGATCAAATGGAATTTCACTTTTTGAGGAATCTCAATACTGATTTCCATAATGGTGGAACTAGTTTACATTGTCAACAAAATGTATAAGGGTTCTTTCTTCCTTGAACTTCACCCACATTTTTGCTTTTTCAAGCCCTTGAAGATAGCCATTCTTATTGACTTTTCTGTAATTCTGGAAGACAGAATTACAGTGTTGGTTAATTTTCATTTTGCTGAAGGCCAAAGAAACTGAACATTTTTTCATCAGCTTATTGGTCATTTTCTTTTGAAAAGTATTGATTCATTTCTTTACCCATTTTTATTAGGTCTTTTAATTCTGTGAATTTTTTGTTCTGTACATATTCTTAATATTAGTCATTTGTCCTAGGAGTAACTAACAATTTTTCTCATTCTGTAGATTGTTTCTTCATTCTGTTTGTGGTTTCTCTTACTGTGCAGAAGGCTTTTAATTCAAAATAATCACATTTGTTGATTCTTGTTATTATATATTATGTACAGGTACAAATTCCCTGTGATGAATGTGATCGTTATGTATGAAAATTTATACCAGTAAAACAAAACCTAAAAAGGTAAACCGCAACAAAAGTTTTGATATCAACATGAAAATTTTGTAATATTTTTAATATTTCTAAATAATAAAACTTTAATATAATATCAATGTTAATTTCCTCAAATATTTTTATGGAAAGGAATATGATATAATATCAAAAGTGAAAAAGTTCCAAAACTAATTACCTTTTAGTAGAGGAATAATCAGTAATGTTTATTATTTTTTATATTTTTTATGAATTTTCAAGATTTTCTACAATAAGCATACAAGTACTCACTTTAAAACCCAAAAAGGCATAGCTCTCAAAAATTTTAATCTTTTTTGCTTTTTTTTTAATGAAAAAGAATAAAAACAATGATACAAAATTTCAAAACAAAATAATAGATTAACACTGGTTAATGTATTGAATATTATTATCTTCAAGGTAGTTCAGATTACAAGTTAGAGGCATGAAAAAATGATCAAACAATTGAACAATGAAAGCACAAACTAATATTAGCTTGTGATATAAGCAAGCATCTGCCATACCTTTTGATTAAATGAGCTCGGCTGTTTACGTAGTTGGTGTCGAAAGAATAATTTTCAGTCTGTAATGATAAAAAGAAGGTTTAAAAGGTTACACAGATGATTCAGAAGAAGAGTTCAAGTGTCCCACTGTAAGAAAATACGCTTTTACTGGGCAGGAAGATATGAATGAATTTGAAAACAAAGCTATCCTGGGGCAGCAGACTAACGAATACTTTCTGTGCAACAACTTACAAAGAAGAGACAATATGACTCACGATCATTACAGAAATAAATTGCTTTCCATTACCCAGCGGAGACAATTCTATATCCTTCAAACTGACTAGAAATTCAAGTTATTTTTATCACTAGTAGATAATTAACATGTTAAAATATTTATTCCAAAGTTATAAAAATGCAGACAAGACAATCTCCCACTGTGGATTTCAACTCTGCATTTCCTTTTGTTTTCAGATATTTGCTCCACACAGGTTATGCAAGAAGGCCTTCGTTTTATCACAGATATAAAGGCCAACAAGTATGCATAAAGCAAAGTGAAGGGCAATCCACAAGGGGTTCCATAGCCTTTCATCAGCAACATAAAGCTTGCTAGCAAAGCTTTGTTTCATTTTCTGTCACAAAAACGTCACTGCATAATGTTAAAGTAAACTACAGAGTAACAGCTTTACACAAGAAAATGCACAATGCCTGTAAAACAGATGCAAAAATAGTTTACAAGCACTCAGAGGCTGGTTGCATAGGAGGGCACAGCCTAGGAAAGGGTGGAAGCCAGAGAAAAGTCTACACTGCAAGTCTGTGTCCTAGTGAAGTGTGTCACCCACCACTGACACACAACTCTGGTTGTGTAAACTGAAAAATAACACATCACCGCCCTCTTGCTACTCAACCAAAAATCCCCACCATTGCAATCATTCCCGGGGGCCTTCTGCAATCACGTCAACTCAAATTTCTTGGAAAAATAAACACAATATTTGTCTGTTGCCAAGAAGAGCATATTCCTTTCTGACCACTGCTTGTCAGACATTAACTGCACTAGGCTTTTAAATGCAGTCTTTGCTTTCACAGAATTCAGTTTGATAGAGAAAATGTGACACAGTATAGCATGTTCAACTACCACAAGAGCATTAAATAGGCCACAGTCAAGGTAAAAATCCTTAATAACAAGGCAGAATAGTTAAGAAGTGGACAACGCATGGGCAGAAAAAGGAGAAAATACTGAAAAGGCAACTGAAACACAACAGTAGCTGGTACTGAATCATGCAGGTCTACACCCTCCATATTCCTCATTTAAAGACACTCTTTGTAACAAATATATACTCACACTGCTTTTATTTCCAGGTTTGTGTCCCCTTTAATGTAAATCACAACTAATTTTTGGTGTTGTTGAAAGAAATAGTCTGGGAGAGTAAAAATCAAAAGAGTCAGACTATTTCTAATTTGTTCCCAAGAAACAGTGCTGAGCTTGTTATGAACATAATTACAGTAAGAGACAAACTTGAAGCTATATTGGGGGTACAATCAAAGTATTTACTGGAATAGGTTATTCATCATTCAACCAACAATCATTTTTGAGTTAATTCATAATAGGCAAAACATGACATTGGCTACATGTGCTCTTCTATGATAGTCAACATAATATATTATTTTGGAATAGAAGTCCCCCACTACCTAAAAATCATGCTACTCTTTTAAAACACAGAATTTATTGCCACTCAGCAGTTTACATATTTCATCAGGAAACATTGGACAAACTAATTTCTGAGTGCCTCAATTTTCTTTTCTCTAAAATACGGATAGTAGATTGTGAATCCAAAGCACAAATTCAACTACATTTATCATAACTCATAGTCGGAATCCCTATTCACTGCATTCTACAAAACTTGAAGTCCCAATGAGAATTAGGAATTTGACCTCATTTGGGCAATAAAACAACAGTATATGCATGTTCTCTCTCACCTTCCAAACTTACTAAATCAGTTTTGCAAGAAAGTTGGTAAGCAGGCATAATGATATAAAAAATCTAGAGGAGGTTAGCTTTTCCAGTAACATCCCTGCCATGTTTTAAAAAGCCGGTATTTGAAGGAAAATTTTATATAGCTTTGCATATGAACTGTGTTTCAAATATGCAACTCTAAACATCTGGCCTCCAGATACAGTACCAGTGCCACATATTTGAGCAAAGAAAAAAATCACACAAATATTATGTCTGATGATTGCACTTCTTGGTTCTTATGGAATAATTTATCTCCTCAGGATAATTGATACTTTCAGCAGATGATCTACAGGACTTGCTTACAATGATTTTCACAATTTTTCCTATCCCTCCGGAACACAAACTGGATAACCATGGGCAGATGTATCGGACATGATCTGCTACTGTAGGTAGAAGAGTGTCATTGAACTTTATCATATTCTTATCATTTTCATCATTTACTCTTAAAAAAGGCCCACTCTTATGAATCCTGTCCTTCAAGTACATATATTCTGTTCCTCAAATCATCACAAACCATAATGGTACAATGGCCTCTGCGTTATCCTAATGTAATTAGTGGCACTAGTCTATGATGCAATTTCCTAGAACCAACCTTCCCAGAATGAATCAAATTACACTGATTCACACACATTCTTTGTCTCCTTTACAATCAGTCTCAGCTTTCTTTATGAGACACCTTGGTTGCAGTTATGGGAACAACAAAAGCAATGGAATCACTCTAATTGGGCAGAATACACAAATTAGTAGTGCATCCTAAAAACTGAGTTACCTGGCTATATATATGGGTCTACAGAGTATTCTAATTCATTTGGTTCAAGATATGTGCTCAAGTCCAAATAGTGCGCACTGAAAGACTGAATTTTTTTTCACTTCTGATAGAGCAAAAATGAGACTCAGATCATTCTTCCAAAGGAAACTTACTTTAATGAATATTTTTTTTTTCATATTTTAGGCCAGTGGTTCTCAGCTCTAACTGCACATAAGGATGATCTCAGGAACTTTAAAAAAATATCGTCACTAAGGATTCCACTCCAAGCGATTCTGAGGTACGATAGCTAGTCGAAAGTTGGGCGCAGGTACTAGTAGTATATTTTGTAACTCCCCAGATAATTCTAGCTTAGCTCCATGGTAAAGAATAAACGTTGTGAACAAGAAATTAGCCACAGATTTTGATCTGATGTGCTGTTTTCTATGTCAAACCCAGTTATTTAGAAGATGAAAGTTTTTTTTTTTTTAATGAGATATTCTGCAAAGGTCATCTGCAAAGAAATACACTTTTTAAGAAATAACAAAAGAGCTTTTTTTCCTTTTCTTTTCCATGTATGGCTCCTGGTTGGACTTATTTAATCAAAATTTGCTTGATATTATTCCAATCCCATTTCTAAATGTTCTATTGGCAAGTAACGAAATATATGAGAGATGAATTTCTCTTTAAATGTCATGTTAATCTCACTAGGCTGTGTCTGTGTCTCTAATGAAACAGCCGGGTTAACACAAAGATACAGCACACAGAAGAACATTTGCTTTTGAAAAATCTAAATGTAACATTAAAAAGTGGATCAGGAGCAAACACTTATTTCCAGTTGTGATGGAAAATATAAATAATTTTTATCTCTTAATATACTCCTCCTATATCTATTATCTAATTAGAAATATATTTCCTAGGAAATCACTGTTCTTTTCTGACCTAAGTTTTAAAAATTTTTGATTTTCTAAAAACCACAAGGATAAATAATTCTGGATATCTCAGTTTTTCAGGTAGCTTAGACCTTTTCCCTTTAAAACCTGAAACTCTGATTTAAAACGTTAACCATTCTGCCTTAATTCTGAAATGTATCACAAAATTGCCTTCTTTAAAATGGAGTACAAAAAGCATAATTTAACCTCTTATTGGTTGCTTAAAAGAACCCTCTTAAGCATAAGTCATTGCATCATACAGGTTTTACCTGTAAACTCTATGATCCAAACACATTTTGTTTATTGAATTCTTGTCTTTAGATTTCAACACACTTGCCTCAGTCAAACTTTCAGTGTTGTAACTCCTCGGTGCTGTCAGCGTATCAAAAGCAACTCCTCTTACACTTCACATTTCATGCTTTTACTCCATTGTGTTCTTAGAAACTATATAATTGTATTTGCAAGGATAGCGTGGAAAATGAGTTGATAAGCTCTGAGTAGAAAGTTGTTAACTTTTCCTAAGAAGTTAATTATAAAATCTTAAATATGTGGACTTTCGTTAAATATTTTGGTTTTAGTTTGCTTGTCTTTTACCTGCTCTGGATTCTTACTTGTTTACTTCTTTCATTCTTAGCACATGTATAGATATTTAAGGGTTTTAGTGAGACTTTTGTGTGAGTAGTATGTTATTATCTTTCTACGTTAGTAAGTGTGGTGCATCATAAGTCAAATACTTTCACTTTGTCAAGTCCCCAAGATACCAGAGTCTGTCCTACTTTAATTGTCATTTTGTATTACTTTTACATTTCACTAAATTGTGCCCTGGTCTCTGGAAGAGAGACTTGCAGCTCTTAGTACATTTATCACCAGAACAGATTTAAACCCTAAGGAAAAAGACGCCCAATAAATGTAGATATCCAGGACTAGACTCTGCTTAGTGGCACAAATCCCCAGGTCACTATGCCAAGCTGAAATTGGTTTCAGTCTCGGGGATTAAAACAAAGATTTCTAAAACCATAAGATTTTAATTTGAATATGAACAATTCTTACTAAGTTGCACTTTAAAAATCTGATGCAGAAAAGCATCAGAATTTTGCTATTTGCTATTTTTAAATTTTTTTAATTTGAATTCTTTAACAATAAAATAGCAAAATTGGAATTTAAATCAGATGCACAGCAAAGTGATTTTAACATGTTGCTTATTTTTGAACTGTCAATTTCCAATAATGGTAAGTGTGGTTATCAATCTATTATGAAACACCCATAACCTTTTTCAAAATTAATTGCTGTATTAGGTCATCAAATGGCCTAAAAGAGTAATCTCACAAAAGGACTTTTTGAAATAAATTAACAAACAACTCTTTCCTACTTCTGCCCAACACATAAAAGTTA